TGGAAGATGAGGATAAGGACATCATTAGGGGTCCATTATTCTGCCTACCATATTGTTATATTGTTTCCTGCATTTTAGATGGAGCTTTTCCATCCTTATTTGAAACTGAGTGGAAATTACTTTGCATGCGTATACTTTTTAAATATAACTGGAACTTTGCCATTCCATATCTCTAGAGTCTTCATGCAATGGAAGGCCATGTGATGATTGCCTTCTTGCCCACCATTTTAAACCAGCTATTCCGAGTCCTCACCAGAGCGACCCAGGAGGAAGTTGCAGTCAACGTGACACGGTAAGATGGGCAGATAGACAGATGTGCTTCTTTTTCAGTCTGTCCTTATGTGGTGCACAGTTATACATATCTGAGATGCTAGTATGTGTTGAGCATTACCTTTTAAGAAATTTCTTTTTATCTTGTATTTAGGGGCCTTGGCTAATTCTTTTATTTCCTGTGGTTCCAATAACATCATCATTATTCTACTACTACTATGATGATAATGAAATATTTCCATTTTCTCATTATTATTCATTGTTTTATTCATTCCTGTGGTGTGTAGGGTCATTATTCATGTGGTTGCCCAGTGCCATGAGGAAGGATTGGAAAGCCATTTGAGGTCATATGTTAAGGTATGTAAAATAAACTGTCCTGGTCATTTAAGTCTGTGGCTCACTAATTTTCCTTCTAAGAATTTATTTTTTAAAAAAGTAGTTGTTTGGAGATATACTTGAAACACAATGCTTATGTTTTCTCCTCTACATCTCACATCATTGTGTGTATCCAAATGAGCAGAAGTCTGAAGAGTAGTCATGCATTTATTTACTTAACTTCATTCTTTCAACTACATTTCTCTTAATGCGTTTTGCAAATAATGTGACCTTAGTCACGTTGAAATCGAAAGAGGAATTTCATTTTGCTCTTTGCTAAGCCACTGGTATACCTAGCTTTCTTTTTCCCATTTAAATTCCTAGTAAAACTGTTGGTCCTAAGATAGGTTAGTTCTGGCCAATAGTCAAATTAGATAACTATGTGGAATAGGAAGAAATGTCATTAGGATAAATACCAATAAGTTCTTTTTTATGTTCAACATTTACTGAGCAGCATTTCGTTCTATTGTTCAAAAAATTAACAGAAGTTGTAATAAGACGAAGGATTTGGTGAAGAACAAGGCTCCAGGAATTGAAGGAATACCCATTGAGATGTTGCAACAAATAGATGCCCTGTTGGAGGCATTCACTTGGTTATGCCAAGAGATTTGGAAGACAGCTACCTGGCCAACTGACTGGATGAGATCCATATTTGTACCCATTCCAAAGAAAGATGATCTCACAGAATGTGGAAATTATCAAACAATATCATTAATAAAACATGCAAGTAAAATCTTACTGAAGATATTTCAAAAACACTTGCAGCAGTATATTGACAGAGAGCTTCCAGAAATGTAAGCTGGAATCAGAAGAGGACGTGGAACCAGGGATATCATTACTGATGTCAGATGGATCTTAGCTGAAAGCAAAGAATACCAGAAAGATACCTACTTATGTTTTATTGATTATGCAAGAGCATTCGATTATGTGGATCATAACAAATTATGGATAATTTGAGAAGAATGGAAATTCCAGAACACTTGATTGTACTCATGAGGAACCTGTACATAGATCAGGAGGCTGTCTCTCAAACAGAAGAAGGGGATACTGCGTGGTTCGAAATCAGGAAGGGAGTGCGTCAGGGTTATATCATACTTTCACCATACTTACTTAGTCGATATGCTGAGCAAATAATCCAAGAAGCTGGATTATTTGAAGAGGAATGTGGCATCAGGATTGAAGGAAGATTCATTAACAACCTGCAATATGCAGATGACACAATTTTGCTTACTAAAAGTGAGGATGACTTGAAGCACTTACTGATGAAGATTAAAGACCTCAATATAAAGAAAAGAAAAACCTTCACAACTGGTCCAATTAACAGCTTCATGGTGGATGGAGAAAAGATTGAAGTTGTCAAGGACTTCATATTACTTGGTTCTCCAATCAACACCATTGGAGGCAGCAGTCAAGAAATCTGGTGATGTATTGCATTGGGCAAATATGCTGCAAAAGACCTCTTTCAAGTGCTGAAGAGCAAAGATGTCTCCTTGAAGACTAAGGTGTGCGCAACCCAAGCCATGGTATTTTCAGTCATCTCTTATGCATGTGAGAGCTGGACAATGAATAAGGAAGACCTAAGAAGAGTTGATGGTTTTGAGTTATGGTGTTGGAGAAGGATGCTAAGAGTACCATGGTATGCTAAAAGGACTAACAAATCTGTCCTGGAAGAAGTGCAGCTGGAATGCTCCTTGGAAGCGAGAATGGCCAGACTTCATCTCACCTACTTTGGTCATGTTGTCAGGAGGAACCATTCCCTAGAGAAGGATATCATGCTTGGTAAAGTGGAGGGTCATCAAAGAAGGGGAAGGCCCTCAAGGAGACGGATTGACACAGTGGCTACAATGATGGACTCAGGTATAACAAGGATTATGAGGCTGGCACAAGACCGAGCAGCATTTCGTTCTGCTGTTCATAGGGTTGCAGTGAGTCAGAGACGACTTGATGGCTCCTAACAACACCACCACCACATTTGTGAATTATAACTATATGTTAGTTTTTTTGGGGGGAGGGCAGGGGATAGGTTCTTCAGGGAATCCATTACTGAGTGTCATATATAATTAATTCCTTGGGGTCTTTGGTAGAGATGGAGTTATTGGGTTGGATGACTACTGATCAAAGTCAGGTGATTCACATATTTGGATAAGTTTCCTGGAAATCTGGAAATATAGGTCTCCCTCTTTCTGTCACATGACAGTCACCCTTCCTGCCTTCCATTTCCACACCTTCCTCTGCCACCCATGCAGTTGTACTTCTGTTCCTGGTCTCCAGTCTTTGTAACCTCTCAAAGTTCCTGACCAACTTTGAGAACTAGTGCAGTACATTAAAGTATCTCTCCCTTTTCTTTAAAGTATGCTTATAAGGCTGAACCATATGTTGCCTCTGAATATAAGACAGTGCATGAAGAACTGACCAAATCCATGACCACAATTCTCAAGCCTTCTGCTGATTTCCTCACCAGCAACAAACTACTTAAGGTATGTTGGAGGGCCATTGTGGCTCTGCAATATTGGAATTCATCAAAGAAAATTCAAACTCCACAGACTGATCAATTAACTACCTTTATGTGCTCTAAGAGATGGTCATTACCCCATATACAGGGCATTAGAGTCAGTTCTCCAATCCCAAGTTTGCTATATGGGTCTTGTGATAGGAATATTACTAAGTTCAAAATTTCACTTGTTCTTAAGTCTGAATAAGTCATTATATTGAAATTAAAATGCACTGGAAGAAACTGATACAGAGATTATAAAGACAGATGTCAGCAAACAATAGATTTAGCCGAGAGGAAAGACTGCATGTGTAATTCTGAGGAGCAGAGCCTCTTGGTGGATTGATCTGCGCTCAGTGTATGCATCCAATTTCTTAGGAGATGGAGTTATTTATTGTTCAGTGTGTGAAAGCAAAACAACTGCCAGACACCTGTTTGGTGCCTGTTTCATATCAGTAGCATTATCAGTCTGAAAGAATACACCTCTCACCTTATTATTTGTTGTTTTTCTTACTGGAGCCCTTTTTCCCCCCATTTTTCAGTATTCATGGTTTTTCTTCGATGTTTTGATAAAATCCATGGCTCAGCACTTGATAGAGAACTCCAAAGTTAAGGTATGTTACATGACATCAAGGTTTGTGTGGCTATTCTTTGGGACAGGCTCCTTTACTGCATTTGGTAGATAACGTTTATGAATGCTTTCTGTGTGACCAGTTACAGCACTGTTCTAAGTGCTTTGTTGTTAGGTGCCATTGATCCCAACTCATGGCAACCCATGTGTGCAGAATAGAATTGTACTCCATAGGATTTTCAAGGCTTTGACCTTTAGGAAGCATATTGCCAGGCTGTCTTCCAAAGTGCCTCTAGTTGGGTTCAAACCATCAACCTTTCAGTTGCTTGGTGAGTGCTTAACAATTTGCACCACCCAAGGACTCCTCTACAACATTTATAAGTCATAAATCATTTTAGCTTCATAACAACCCTACGAGGGAAATAGTATTCTTACCTCTCATTTTCTGGGTGAGGACACTGATGTCTGAGTGCTTGAGTAACTTGCCCAGGGTCACACTGCTAATGAGTGTAGGAGCTAGGTTATGAAACCAAGTCTGGCTTCAAGGCCCATGCTCCTGAACCACTGTATTATTAAATTCAAAGAAAAGAAAGTCTTTTCCTTTTAGGTGTTGTTGTTGTTATGTGTTGTTGAGTCGATGCTGACTCATAGTAACCCCATGGACAGAATAAAATTGCTCTGTAGTATTTCCTAGGCTGTAATCTTTACAGGAACAGATGGCCAGGTCTTTCTTCATGGAACAACTAGTAGGTTCTAACCACTGCCCTTTTTGTCAGCAGCCTGGTGCTTAACTATTATGCCACAGGGTTTCTTTTATTAGCTTAGTAAATTTCAAGTTTATTAAAATGAGGGCATTAATTTAAAGCACCAACTACCCTGTGTTTATTCAGTGTCCTAACCATTGTAGACATTTGTCCATTGCGGTTTGGATGCAAGTGTCTGACCCGAGTCTCTTGTCCTCTGTAACTAGTTAATGGACTCTTTGAGATAACCCAATCTCTTTGGGATAAATGCTAAATTTTGGAGTTCCTCTCCTTCAGAAGCTCCTTGTGATGGTGTCTGGATGTATATAACTTTGTGGGTGGCAGAGATTACCTGGTCCCCATGCTGTCTCCTGCGGTTGAGGAGTAAACCACAGGGAGCCAGGTGAGGAGAGGGAACCCAGGCCATCCCCCACAAGCAGCGAGATGGGAAGCAGGGAGAGGACAGAAAAGGCAAAGGGGACTGGAACAGATTGAGAAGTTAGCCACAGGGATCCAGGTAAGGGTGGTTGGAGGGTTTTCCAACAGCTGAGGGAGACAAACTTGTCTGTCGGTTTGTCCTACTGTGGTGACTTGTTGCTGTGAGTCTTGAGGCTGTGCCACTGGTGTTTCAAACTCAGTGGGGTGTGCCTGTGCATAGGTATCAGCCCAGCTTGCAGACTGAGACAGACTAGGAAGAAGGAGGAGGCCATCTACTTCTCAAAGAATTGGCCAGGGAAAACCTTATGAATAGCAGAGAAACACTGTCTGATACATTACTGCACAAATTTATGAATAGTCCAGAAACATTGTCTAATACAGAGGAGGAAGATGAGTCACTTAGCTTAGAAAGCTCTCAAAGTAGGACTGGGAAAGAGCTGCATCATCTGAGTAAACCCAGCCTTACTCATATGGATGAGGTAAAGCTTTCAAGACCTCCATTTGCTGACATGGCACCATTTAAATTGAAGAGAAACAGCGGCAAACATGCATTAATAATTGGAACATGGAATGTATGAAGTATGAATCTAGGAAAATTGGAAGTTGTCAAAAATGAAATGGGACGCATAAAGATTGATATCCTAGGCATTAGTGAGCTGTAATGGACTGGTTTTGGCCATTTTGAATCAGACAATGATATGATCTACTATGCCGGGTATAACAGTTTAAAGAGGAATTGTGTGGCATTCATCATCACAAAGGATGTTTCAAGATCTGTCCTGAAGTACAATGCTGTCAGTGATAGGATAATATCCATATGCCTACAAGGAAGACCATTAATACAATTATTATTCAAATTTATGCCCCAACCACCAAAGCCAAAGATGAGGAAATTGAAGATTTTTATCAACTTCTGCAGTCTGAAATTGACCAAACTTGCAATCAAGTTGTGTTAATTATCACTGGTGACTAGAATGCAAAAGTTGGAAACAAAGAAGAATCACCGGTAGTTGGAAAATTTGGCCTTGGTGACAGAAATAATGCTGGAACTTGCATGGTAGAATTTTGCAAGACCAATGACTTGTTAATTGCAAACACCTTTTTTCAACAACACAAGCAGTGGCTGTACACAGGGACTTCACCAGATGGAACACACAGGAATCAGATTGATTACATCTGTGACCAGAGGCAGTGGAAAAGCTCAATATCTTCAGCTAAAACCAGGCCAGGAGCTGATTGTGGAACAGTCCATCAATTGCTCATATGCAAGTTCAACTTGAAGTTAAAGACAATTAAAATAAGTCCACGAGAGCCAAAGTATGATCTTGAATCTATCCCTCCTGAATTTAGAGACCATCTAAAGAATAGATTTTGATGCATTGAACACCAGTGGCCAGACACCAGATGAATTGTGGGATGACATCAAGAGCATTATCCATGAAGAAAGCAAGAGGTCACTAAAAAGACAACAAAAGAAGACCAAAATGAATGACAGAAGAGACTCTGAAACTTGCCCTTGAGCGGAGAGTAGCTAAAGCAGATGGAAGAAATGACAAGATAAAAGAATTGAACCGAAGATTTTAAAGAGCAGCTCAGGAAGACAAAGCCTATAACTATAATGAAATGTGCAAAGACCTGGAGTTAGAAAACCAAAAGGGAAGAACACGCTCGGCATTTCTCCAGCTGAAAGAATTGAGGAAAAAATGTAAGCCTTGAGTTGCAATATTGAAAGATTCTAAGGCAAAACAATGAATGAGGCAGGGAACATCAAAAGAAGATGGAAGGAATATACAGAGTCACTGTACCAAAAAGAACTGGTCAATCTTCATCCATTTTAGGAGGTGGCATATGATCTAGAACCAATAGTACTGAAGGAGGAAGTCGAAGCTGCAATGAAGGAATTGATGAAGAACAGGGCTCCGGGAATTGATGGAATACCCATTGAGATATTTCAACAAACAGATGCTGCACTGGGGGCACTCACTCAGTTATGTCAAGAGATTTGGAAGACAGCTACCTGGCCAACTGACTGGAAAAGATCCATATTTGTACCCATTCCAAACAAAGGTGATCACACAGAATGTGGAAATTATAAAACAATATCATTAATAACACACTCAAGTAAGATCTTAGTGAAAATCATTCAAAAATGGTTGCAGCAGTATATTGACAGAACTTCCAGAGGTGCAAGCTGGATTCAGAAGAGGACGTGGAACAAGGGATATCATAGCTGCTGTCAGATGGATCTTGGTTCAAGGCAAAGAATACCAGAAAGATGTTTACTTGTGCTTTATTGACTATGCAAAGGCATTTGATTGTGTGGATCATGACAAATTATGGATAACATTGAGAAGAATGGGAATTCCCAAACACTTGATTGTACTCATGAGGAACCTGTACCTTGACCAGGAGGCTGTCGTTCGAATGGAACAAGGGGACACTACATGTTTTAAAATCAGGAAGGGAGTGTGTCAGGGTTGTATCCTTTCTGCATACTTATTCAATCTATATGCTGAGCAAATAATCTGAGAAGCTGGACTATATGAAGAAAAACATGGCATCAGGATTGGAGGAAGAATCATTAACAACCTGAGATACACAGATGTTTCAACTTTGCTTGCTGAAAGTGAGGATGACTTGAGGCACTTACTGATGAAGATTGAGGAACACAGTCTGCAGTATGGATTACATCTCAATATAAACAAAACAAAAATCCTCACAACTGGACCAATGAGCAGCATCACAATAAATGGAGAAAAGATTGAGGTTGTCAAAGAATTCACGTTGCTTGGTTCTACGATCGATGCCAATGGAAGCAGCAGTCAGGACATTAGACAACGTGTAGCACAGGGCAGGTCAGCTGCGAAGGAACTCTTTCAAGTGCTGAGGAGCAAGGATGTCTCCTTGAGGACTAAGGTGCGCCTGATAGAAGCCATGATATTTCCATTCGCCTCGTATGCATATGAGAGCTGGACGATGAATGAGGAAGACAGAAGAAGAGTTGATGCTTTTGAGTTGTGGTGCTGGCGAAGAATGCTGAAGGTACCATGGACTGCCAAAAGAACTAACAAATCTGTCCTGGAGGAAGTGCACGCAAGATGCTCCTTGGAAGTGAGGATAGCCAGACTTCATCTCACCTACTTTGGTCATGTTGTCAAAAGGGACCATTCCCCGGAGAAAGATGTCATGCTTGGTAGGGTGGCGGGTCAACGAAGGAGGGGAAGACCTTCAAGGAGATGGATTGACACAGTGGCTGCGACAGTGGGCTCAAGTATAGCAAGGATTGTGGAGCTGGCACGGGAACGGGCGGTGTTTCGTTCTGTTGTACATGGGGTCGCTATGAGTCGGAAACGACTTGACGGCACCTAACAATAATGGAAACAACATGCTATCCCCTTGTTCATGTTGGTCTCTGTCATGAGATAACTGATCTGGACTGATGCCTCTCACAGTGTGACTGGCCTCCTTTGGCTGACTGAGGCCAAAACATTGGTAAACTTTTTATAAAATTCAAATGCAGTAAACACAGGTGGCAATGTAACTTTTTTGTTTTGATGATTTCAAAATTCCTCTGAAACTTGCAGTATCCAGGAATTGTCATTATGAATAGGAATTATTGCTGTATCGAGACTGAAAGCAGGGTCATGTGGGATTCTTTTAAGAGTGGGGAGCACCTGTACAGTGTGCATTGGGCATGGTGCTAGACACTCTTCTAGAATGAGTGTTCATGCTGTTGGATTCTGGCGGGTAAGAGAGAGGATCAATAGGGAGGGGAAGGTTCACCATCTAGAATTCCTGGGCAAGGGAACTGGACACTCTGAAGAAGCAGTGTGAAAGGTTGCCAGATTTTTGCCAGGTGAGT